TTGAGTTTTCCTGACACTGATTAATCCAGGACGTGGAACCAGGTGTTTCCAAGGATGAAAACAGCACAGGTAAACGTCCAGCTGCAGCAAGAAACACAGGGTATGCACTGAGAGCATTCAGCTCAGCCTCTCTGTGCAGGAAGCTTTCTCCTCACCAGAGGCAGGCACCGCCACCAAGACAGCTTGGGAGAAAAGCGGCTCAAGTCATGTGGAGCTTTCTGAGGAGGACACTCAACAAAGCAATGATCCCAAGAAAGATTCCCGGAAACCTCTGCAGGCATTTGTAGCTCCAATATCATTAGCAGTCTACATTCATGTTCCCAACTTCAAAATCTGATGCTTCTCTCAAGATGTAAGTCCTGCAAATATTCAGAGGGCTTAATTTTAAAATAATTAAAGACACAAATAAAAAACTGAATTAAGGAGAATAATGCAGGCTATACAGAAGCAACTCAGCAAATAGAAATTCTGAAGAACCAAACAGATATCACAGAAATGAAAAGTGCAGTAAGTCAAATAAAAATTTAGGGGAAAGGCTCAAAAACAGCATCAAGCGTAAAGCCAAATTTCAGACTTGAAGGATAAGATGAATGAATTACCACACATACGTGCTTGTAAAGAAAAAGTGAATTGACTACCAAGAACTCTGAGGCATGGATAAAGGCACAAACTTACAAATTCTTGGCATAGAAGTTGGCCCAAAGAATCACACTAATGGCACTTAAGATCTATTCACTGAAAAACATCTCAGAAAACTTGCCAAATCTTGGGAAAGGTACAGATATCCATGAATAAGAAGCATTGTGAACTGAGGTAGTGACCAGAAAAGACCTCCTAAGTCACATTATAGTTAAAATGTTGAAAATACAGAAAGAATATGCAAAACTGCGAGTGAGAAATATCAAGACACTTGCAAAAGCAAACCCAGAAGAATAACTGCAGACTTCTCTATAGAAACCCTAAAGTGCAGTATGGCATGGACAATGACAAAAGTATATAACTGCCAGCCTAGGTTACTCTAGCTGATAAAGTTATCTTCAAAACCAAAGATGTATAGACTAAATAAGTAGATATTTTTAAAATTTCTTACACATAATACAGCATTGCAGAAGATGTTTAACAAAATTCCACTAAGAGAAGAGGAAGAATTTGATCAACTAGAGTTGAGGAAAGAAACATAGGAAAAATAAGGAATTAACAAGAATTAGTACACATATTTCCATAACAACTTTCACCATCAATGGTCTCCAATTTCCAGAAAAATGAATGAAATTTGAGACCACGATCTTAAGTGAAATGTCAAACATGGAAAGTTAAATGTGACATGGTTTCTGTTATATAAGAAAACTATAATAATTAAATAAAAGATAAATGTAGGGCTGGGAATTTAGCTCAGCGGCATAAGCGCCTGCCTTGCAAGCAGGCAGTCGTGAGTTTGACCCCTGGTACCAATAAAAAAAAAAAAGAGAGAGAAATGTAGGAAAAAGGCAGATTTTCTGCAGATAGGGGAAAGGATCAGGGAAAACACAGGGAGGAGAAGTAAGAGCATCAGAAATGAACAAAGTTTGTCATAGTCATGTGCATGAACCAATTTCCTTTTATGAATGTAATATTACATATTGCAAATATGCACAAATAACAAAAAATTATAAATATGAAAAAATATAAATTATCAATAAAGAATTCCCATAAGTATACAAGGCTAGGAATGTGTATATTTATTTGATTGTAGTCATCATTTCACAGCTTATATGTATGTCAAAATGTTGTACTTTAAAATAAAATAAAATAAATTGCTCCCAGCCCCACACACAAAAATTTGTACCCAGAACATTCCACGCATTGGAGCAAAGTTTAGAAGAGAGGGTATGCACAGCCTCAGGCCAGGACCTGGGTCCAGGTGACCACATGGGCACACCAGGGCTCCCACAGTGTGTCTGCTGACTGGAGCCAGGCAAAGATCTAACCCAGGTGAAAAGAGACTGCTCTGTTCTGGACTTTGCCTTTGAACCGCAAACAGGCTCCATTGCTAATCCAGGCTTCTTGACATTAGTGGGATGCAGTCGACCTGCACAGCTTGGATTCTTGTTTTTCTTTCACCCCTTTCTCCATTACCTCACAAACTCAACTGCAAGCTGCACAATATCAGATGAGTCAAGGTGAGCAAGCCATGCAGGGCCTCAATTCATGGGGCTGAGAATTGCTGAGCTCCCTCAAGAAATACATCATCCTCCACAGTCCTTCTGGGTTCTTGGAATGTGACCTTCCCTCAAAAAACAAAGCATGATGGGGTCAGCTTCTCAGAAACATGGCTCTGGGGCCCTGAAGGTGCCCTGACCCTAGCACACAGTGGCAGTGTGATAGTAATTTTGACATTGTAAAACTCACTAGCAACGTGATGTCATACTGAGACAAGATATACTGATTCTGCCCACCCAGTACCTAGAGTGCTAAACCCAGTCAGCCTTGACTGGCTGCACCCAGCAGCTTTTCTTAGATAACCGGACCCAGCCTGACCATGTTCAGCCACAGGGTCTGTTTTCCCACCTGAAAACAGATCCAGTTTTTCTCACATATTTCAAGGCCTTTTTACCCAGTAACAGACAATGACTAACTCAACCCAATAAAGTTTACCATGCTCTCAAGCTTTTATACTTCCTGCCTACAAACCTACATAAACTAAGCCGGAAATCTAACAGGAGGCTGATGATCTTCCTTTCAGTTTGGTGACGGTTTTGTAACAGTGACAGAACCCTGGAGAGTTCATCATGCTGGCTTCAAACACTGAACTGTGGTTCTCAGGAGCATTGTGCTGCTTCAGTGAAGAGGTGGGAGGAGCTCAACTGTGCTGTCCCTGTCATCTGGGAAGAGAGACAAACAGTAAGAGAGAGACAGACACACTCACAGAGAGAGAGAGAGAGAGAGAGAGAGAGAGAGAGAGAGAGAGAGAGAGAGAGACAGGGAGACAAGGAGAGACATATACAAAGAGGTGGGGGGAGACAGGGAGAGACAGAGACAGAGACACAAAGACAGAGAGAGAGTGAGTCTCAGTTGGGTTACCAAAGCCCTGGCAGCTAATAAAAGCTCTAAGCATCAGTATCTAGCAATCCTGTTTCTCAGAGAACCAGGGAGGAGTAAGATTTGATAAAAATGGGCTTCGGAGTTTCTAAGCCTGAAGGCAGAGAAATTTCAATACTGAGAAATGGAAGATAAACGCATGGATTGAGGTGGAGAAATGGAGTAATTTTGTGAGGAACACAGACACCTTTCAAACAGCTGGGGCAGATAAATTAGCAGAACCCCGCTGCCCCACAGCTGACTTCAGAAAGGACCGGGGTGCAATTACTGCTGGATCCAGACTGAACAGGATGCAAAGAGGACCAAGGAGTTCACTGAACTCCCACTCAGGAGCTAGGAAACAGAAGATGATAAGAAGACCTTTCTTTTAATCATGACATTTCAAAAATTGTGGTTTTTTTAATTAGGATTCATTTGCAGAGCATAAATTTTACATTCCTTACGTGAAGGTGGCTCCAGTCCATGACATATGCTATTTCCTTTTAGTGTACACTTTTCCTCCCCATCCTACTCTTTTTTTTAACACTTGATCACCTTTCATTTATGAAGAATCTATCTGCCTACTTCCTATTGTGTATCCTTTATTTTGTTTTATATTTCTAACTTGAGATTCTCCAAAAAATTTGTGATACATAAGCTTGTGGGTCTTATTTATTTTGCTTAAACTCATGGCCTCAAGATGGAACTATTTTCTTACATGTGACTCAAATGTATCCTTTGTTATGGTGCAGTAGTGCTCTCTTGTGTGCAAATGACCACACTTTCTTTAGTCATTCATTGGTTCATGAACATGTAGGCTGAGCCCAAGGTTTATCTACTAAGAGTTGTGTCCCTGTAAACATGGGTATGCACGTATCTCTGTACTATGATTTTAACTGTTTCAGGATGTTACCTAGAAGGGCAAAAGCTGGGTCCAATGGAATTTCTAGTTTTAAGCTTTTGAGACATCTTCACTTTGATTTCCATGGCAGTCACACCAGTTTACATTTCCACCAACAATGTAAAAGTGTTTCTTTCCCCCTGAAGCCTCAAGAGGAATGATGTCTTAACACTTTTCTACTGTTATGCAAGGGAGTGCCCTGCAGGGAGAGGGAGGCTGTGCTCAGCACCTCTGCTCTGCTGCTTGTAGATATAGCTCAGGCCACAGCTGATAGGGAAAGGAAGACTCCCTATCTGGTCATGCAACAGCCAGAAGCAGGCTGGGAAGGTGTCACCAGGCTTGCTGCCAACAACTTCGTTGTCCCCTCAAAGAAAGCCTTTCCAGGATTTCAGCACACTAAGGCTTGGCCACACTGATTCTGCTGAGGCAATGCCAGAGGGACCCCATGGGAAGCCCTGCATGGCAGCTCCAGGTGCCAAGGGCTCCTGGCAAAAGAACACACGGGAGCCAATATCTAGAAGCTGTGAACACAACATCCCACCAAAGCACACAACAAAAACGAGGTCCATGATGATGCTGCTGGTGGACACTGGCAGGGAAGCTGTGCTGGGAGAGGAGGGTGTTCTGTTCTGTGCCTAGGGACGTATCGTGTAGTATGTGGAGGGTGTCACACTGCATCTGTGACAGGTTATTTCTTCTTGAAGACCAAAGATCATAGCCCAGCTGAGATGGGCTGGGCGTGGGAGGACCTGGACTGTGGGGCCTGAGCTGGCTCCTCTTATGGAGTAAACAAGCAGGGTGAGGTGAGGGTGGTGCCCAGCAGGCAGCATGCTCAGGATGGGTGAAGATGAGCTACTTGCCATTTGTGAATTTCAAGTTCCCTATCAGGAGTCTGGCTGTATCTGTCCATAGGATGCCTCGGCTCGCTATTTAGTGCACACTGGTGACTGGATCCACATATCTCAGGAGAGCTGGATTGTGTTCGAACGCAGCCAGGGGAAGAATCCTTGGTAAGTTGGGGACTCCTCCGTCTTCTCCTTTGCTGCAGCCTCTACCTTTAGAAGTCCAACACTCTTTTATTATAAAACGCTTCTCTGTCCTTCCCATTCTATTTATGGAATACACAAGATTCCTTTCTACTCATGGACTCCCTATCTTCTCTCTGTGTTTGGATGGTTAGTCATTTTCTTCCTTCTTGATATTAAAAGCAAAGCACTCTATACACAGTCCTCACACCTTGTACAAGTGTGCTCTGCAGCTAGGATATGACTTGGGCTGAGTTTCAGGGCCACACCTACTGCACATTTCATGGTTAGATGGAAATGGCCTATTGTCCTCAAATCTCCAGAACTTTCTGTAAATTCATCAACTGGGAAGGGGTTGTGTTCTGCAGGTGGCCTTGAATGATGCTGCTGGTCATTTTGTGGTTATTCACACCGCTAGATTTAAACTGTGTCTCTGTACATTAATTTGTCTTTCCTGATCATGTACCTGCAGAGGAGCAGCCAGAGAATTAAGGAAAGAATTCCTGTTCTGTCACCCAAAGGCACTGGCCCGATTAGAAAGCAGGAGGAGAATAAGCTGGGAACATGAGCCTGACATCTGGACCTGAGTGTCACCTGGGGAGGGGACTTCACAAGTCCATGTTCATGTCCTGTCCATCTTCAGATGGTAGCTGGGTATCAAGCTGTTCACGTTTTCTTTTATAAACCTAGTAGAAATTCAAGAAAGAGCTATAAGTAAGTAAACAGAAACTCTCAGAAATTTTATAGACCTGTGAAAATATATGGTACATTTGTCCAAAGGCCCGAACATCAGCAAGATAACTTGTGGGGAATCTGAGCCAGATTCCCATTTATTCTCTGCCAGAAGGAGACAGTTCCCCAAGACAGAAAAAAAAAAAAAAAAAAAAAAACCAGAATTTTTCAGGCGGAGCAAAGCTGAAGCTGGGCCGTGTCCCCAGTGACTGGTGCCCTGTGTCCGGGAAATGCCTCTCACACCCTGTTATGGGGCAGACTGGGAGAGGAGGGCAGAGGCCATGCTGGTTATGTGTAGGTGCCCAGTGGAGCTGCAGCAGAGAGCACAACGGGAGCCTGCTGGGTGCTCTGAGTCCCCTGGGAGACAACCACCCACTGAAGCATGTGTGGACGAGAGCCTGGAGTCTCCTCCACATTCCAGGAGGCTTAGAAGGGCTTGGGACAGCCAGCAGGGAGGAGGAGGCCTGTGAGCGGGGCCCATCCCAAAGGGGAAGACATGGAAAGTACCCAGGGGAAGCTGTGACCCCAGGGACAGAGAAAGTGCTGAAACCTCTGCTCTGCTTTCCGTGGGGAGCAGAGGCCTCAGTTGCTAGGGAATGCAGGGCTCTGTGCCCAGGCCATGTGAGTGGCTTGGAGCAGGGCCAGGGTGACACAGTGTAGGAATGCTCCCAGCACTCTCCCCTTTCCTTCCACCAGTGGCCTTTCCAGATTTGGGCGGATAGCAGGTCAACTGAGATGAGCCCCACTAGGACAGGAGGGGGCACTTTCCACATCGCCACAAGAATGAGGCCCTTGTTTACAAGGATCAGAAACTGGCCTAGAGTGACCAGAGAGGACGAGACTCAGGGTACACACTCATTCACAAACATGTGGCATCATCTAAAACTCCATCTTTTCTGCCTGCCTTGTTCTCTTGGATACTTAATTCCCAGTCTCAAATGCTGTCCTATCTCTGGCGACCTGGAACATTTGAACCCAGAAAAGGATGCAGCTGTCAGTTCTCCAGTGGCGATGACCTTTTTGTAATAATTCCTAAGTTTCCCTTTGTAGATTTGTCCTTGTGCCATGTTGGTTGGGGTGTGGGTGGTGAGAATTTGAGAAGGACCACTGCCATTTTTCCTTTTTAAATAGCAGCCACAGAGCTCAGGAAACAGAGGACACTCTGGCTGATGTCCTTTAGTCTATGCTGCCATTCCTGGGTGGGGACGGATGCACATGGCTGTCCACTGTTTCTCCAGCAGGCTCCAGTTCCTTTCCATCACTTGTTTCCTCCTCTGCTCCAGCCTGGACACCGTGTGAGTTGTAAGGGAAACTCTGAAACGCAGAAGCTGACGCCATGGCCGGCCTATCCTCCACAGGTACTTACACCTCTTCTTGAATCGTGGGTTTGTGCTTACGAGGAAGACATGATGTGGAATCTCCCTGGCTGAGTTATGGTGTGCAGCACTCAGGAACAGAGAAGGGAGCCTCAAAAGAGGCTGATGGACTCCCTGTCCTGGGTCTGTGAGGATGAATCTCAGAGTCCTCTCCTCGGGGCCCAGGTGCTCACTTCCTCCCCACCCTGACTCCTAGCCAGCGGCTCAGGTGGGGCCAGGACAGCCTTGGGACAGTGCGGACAGGAGGGGAAAGAAGAAGGGGAGAAGAGAAAGGGAGAGTAGCAGGGACAGCTTGGAGTGGAGGCCATGGTTACCTGGGGCCTCCTTCTGCCCATCATCCATGAGAGGGCCACTCCGAGTGGCTGAGCAGGCAGAATGGTGTGTTGTGCCACTGAACTGGACTCTAGTTGTGATTTATCACTTCTGACTATATATATGGTCTGGACCTCTTACCTCACCTGGCCCATCACATGAAAACAATGTCCCTGACACTGCTGTGAGCATCCGATATGACCTGTGGAAATTTCTAGGGCAGTGCTTGTCACAGGTAAATCCTGCTATACGTGAGTTTCTCCCCTACTTGAACCTGGCTAGTTCCAGGTGGAAACTTCCCCCTTTCCCTCTTCCCCTAGGGACCTCTGTGTGGGTCCTTGGCCTGCGCTGCCAGTGATAAGCATGGTACACATCAGGTGTGTCTGCCACAGGCAGGGACTGATTGCAAGTATCTAATTGAAAATAAAAGTCTGACAGTGGCACAACGCCCACCCTGGAATCCCAGCATTGACAGAGGCTGAGGCAGGGGGACTGGAAGTTTGAGTACCACACAGGCAACTTAACCAGCCTTTCCTTGCCTTAAAATAAAAGTAAATAGGTAAAAATGACCAGAAATGTAGATCAGTGATCAAGCACTCCTGTGTTTAAACCTCAATACTGCAATTAAAAAGGATAAGGAAGAAGTGTCTGAAAAATAAAAGAAAGAGAGACTGCTCCCCCACCAGTCAACGACACATTCCTTCCTTCCTGTTTTCCAGTCCTCACGCAGGCGCCTGGAAACAAAGGCCTTTCTCAGTCTTCACCAGGTCTGGGGAGAGAATTGTGCTTCTGGTGGCCCTGGTGCCCAGTCATTGAGGAAGAAAATGTTGGAAGGCAGAAGCTCCCAGCAGGCCTGGGATCCAGATGCAAGGCTGGGGCTGTGAACTTTTCCAAACCAGCTCTCTCTTGTTCAGTAAATATACAGCCTGGGGTCAGAGGTACCACTGAGGATTTCTGTTCCCTGAGATGTGAGTGATGTGTCCTGAAATGCTAAGTATAACCAAATGGCGACAGTAAAGGCAAATGCAGGGAAGGAACGTTAGTCAGCATAGCTGCAGTGAGCAGCTAGGTCCAGTGCACAGGCTTTCTCGGGAGAGGACCGAGCTACCCGAGTGCGGAAGCCAGCTCTTCAGCGCTGATTCGGATGGTGAAGTAGGCTCACGGGCACTCTGCCCTCCCCACCAGGAAGATGATGACTGAACGTGAGATGTGTGTATGCCAGAGCTTCAGAGAAATGGAGAGTGATGTAGACACAATGTCACCCTGCATTTGGGTTTTGAAGACTAGCACTGTAAGTGGCACCCACAAGTGGCAGGACTGTGGAGAAAACTAAGGTTGAATCATGCAGAAAGAATTAGTCCACCATTCCGTCCACATACAATGGGAATTGTTGTGCTTGTGGGACATTCACGCCTACACTTGCAAATAGGATCCCATGGCAAGAGCTCTCAGGAAGCCTTGCTCAGAACTCCAGAGGGCAAGGGGACCCAGGATTGTGCAAAGCACAGGTCAGAATGTGAAGCTCTGGAGACAGTGTGCAAAGTGGATAATGAGAGGGGGACAGAGAATGGACCCCCCCCCCCAATCAGAGAGCTTCTGGCCCCTCAGTAAGCAAAGGGTTGTGGAGACCTGGGAGTTAACTGCAGTTAGGGCTCAGGGAATCCGTGGTCTCTGTAGGGAAACATGAGGGAGAAGGGGAGCACCAGTGGTATTAACATGGGCAATGCATACCCCATCTGCCATCTTCCCAAACATGGGGCACTCTGTGCCTTCTGGCATCCTGCCTAGTGCTTACCCTTTGGCATTGACAATGATGCCCCTGCCCTAAGCAGAGAGCATTTGGGCACTGCACTGCACACAATGCAGAAGAGAAAGGGGGTTAAGCATAGCCAGACCAGAGTGACCCTCTTCTATTGTTTACCCAAACAGTGGAAAGGTCTGAGATGGTGTAAAACCCTACCCACCAGCAACTATCCTGCTTGCAAAGATGCCCTCTCCCAAGCCTGGCGGTTGTACCTCATTCCACAGGTCCAAGAGCAAGTTCTTGTCTTTAGGTTATTTCCTAAGCACTTAATTTTTCTTGATCTTGTTGTGAGTGGTATTGATTTCCTAATTATTATTGGTGTAGAATAACACTACTGATTTTTGTGTGCTGATTTTTTTGTCCTGCTTCATTGCTGAATTTGGTTATTAATTCTATGAGGCTTTCTGTGTAGTAGATCATGTTATCTGCAAATATTGGTAAGCTCTTTCTTTCTTTCTTTCTCTATCCTTTCTTTCCTATATATATCTCTTCCTTTGTCTAATTGTTCTAGCTAATGTTTTGCATACTGCATTTAACAAGGGTTCCTACTTTTAGGAGTCCCTACTTTCTATTGTTCCTACTTTTAGGAGGAAAGCCTTGAGTTTTTCCCTACTTAATATGATGTTTCCAGTAGGTTTGTCATAAATAGCTTTTAGCACGTTGAGAAAGGGTCCTTCTATACCTATTCTCTTCAGGAATACCTTTTATCACAAATGTATGTTGAATTTTGGCAAAGACTTTTCTGTGTCTATGGTGATTATTATGTTAATTTATATCCCTGATATGTCATTGGTTCTATTTATGGAATGTGTTACATTAGCAAGAATGATTCAACATACACAAATTAATTAATGTAATTTGGTAATTTGTTGCATTCTGTTTGCCGTCATCCTGTTGAGAATTTCTGTGTCTATGTTCTTTAAAGAGATTACCCTGTAGTTCCTATTTTTTTTGTTTGATTCTTGTCTGGTTTTGGAGTCCAGGTAATGCTTACATCCAGGAAGGACTTGGTAGATACTTTTTCACTTTCAGTTTTATTAATGATTTTGAAGAATATTGATGTAGATCTTCCTTAAATTTCTCATACAATTCAGTGATGAATCTAGTAGACTTTTATTAGTTGACAGGTTTTTAATTGCTCCTTCAAATTAATTGCCTGTGATTGGATTAAAACTTGGTTCAATTTGGCAATTCATATGCATGTCTAAAAATCTATTCATATCTTATAAAGTCTCCAATCTTTTGAATTATTTAATTGTAATTGCACTGACTTGTGTCTTTCCTTTTTTTGGTGAGACAATAACAGTTTGTATATTTTTATTGTCTTGTAAAGAACCATCTCTTCTACTCATTGATTCTCTGTATTGAGACTTCATTGAGTCTCAATTTCATTAATTTCTGCTCCGGTCTTTGTAATTTTCTTCCTTGTACTAGCTTTGAGTTTGTACTGCTCTTATTTTTCTAAGACATTTGGTGCATCATTATATTATTTGTTTGGGCTCACTGTGTTTCTTTGGTGTGGGCATTCACAAATATAGACATTTTCTTAGGACTGTTTTTTTATTGTGTATCATAAATTCTTGTATATTTTACTGTTATTATGATTTGATTCTGCCTTGATTTCTTGTATGAGCCATTGATTATTCAAGTGTGCATTTTTTAATTGCTATGCATTTGTCTATTGCTGTGGTTTCTTTACCATTGATTTCTTTTAATTGCCCTATGGTCTGAGAACACGTATGGGATAATTTCTTTCTTTTGTATCAACATAATTATGCTTCATTATGAAATATGGTCTATTTTGAAGAAAGTTTATGTGCTGCTGAGAATAATGTGTGTTCTGTTATTGCTGAGTGGAACACTGTGTAGGTGCCTATTAAGACTGTTGTTCCAGGGGCTGGGGATTTAGCTCAGCGACATAAGCACCTGCCTTGCAAGCAGGTGGTTGTGAGTTTGACCCCTGGTACCGATAAAAAGAAAAAAGACAAAAAAAAAAAGACTGTTGTTCCAATGTCTTGTTCAACTCTGATGTTTTTCTGTTGATTATTTTGTCTATTTCATCTATTTGTGACAGTGGTATGTTGAGGTTCTCACTGTAATAGTGTTGATGTTTATCTGATCCTATATAGCCAATGATGTCTGTTTTACAAAATTGGCTTCACCAGGGTTTGGTTCATGTATATTTAAAGTTGTTTCTTCTTCCTGTTGAGTTGATCCTTAATCAATATGTAGCCACCTTCTTTGTCTCTCCTGATTATTTTTGGCTAGAGGTCCACTTCATCTGAAAGTAAGATAAATACTTCTGATTGACTTTGGGTTTCTATTTCATGAAATATTAATTTCTATTCTTTGATTTTAAACTGTGAATTTTCTTTTGGATTAAGTGTGGTTTTTTATGTTTGTTTTGTTATAAAACAATACAATGAGAATGACCTTGGATTTCAAAAAGAAGACAGAAGGAAACCCATAATGATTACTGTACTGCACATTGTTTCCTCCAAACAGTTGCTCAGACATCTAGATACAGGCATGCAAAGTTAATCACACAGTACAAGTTCTTAGTTGTTTCTTTCATTGCTCTAATTTCAGAAATTTCAAATGTGTGGCTTCTAATTTCTTTGATATGTTTCCCAGACTTCTTCTGGATAAGATACAGGCATGCAAAATTAATCAAACAATATAAATACTAAGTTTTTTACCCACTTCAGTTGCTACCATTTCAGAACTTTTCAGTGTGTGACTTCTAACTTCCTTTGTGTCTAAGTTTCCTGAATTTGGTTTGGGTTGGGCTTACCATGGGATATGGCTCCTTCTTCTCCGGGCCAGTGGCTGCTGGCTTACCAGGGAGCATGTCTTCTCTTCTGGGCCTGCAGTGCTGGCTCAGTAGTGGAGGAAGTAGAGATCGAGCTTCTTCTCCAGCCTGCGGTGGTGGGTACACTAAGGAGCATGGCTTTCTGTCCTCGGGCCCATAGTGGTGGGCCTGATTTTCTTACTTTTGCTGGATTCCTGGATTGTCTCTCTGTGGGCTTGAAGTCTCACTTTAGATCCTTCCTGGGTACAGGAGACCCATTGTCCTCCTTATTCTCTTCCTCATGTTGCTATATTCCAGTGGCTGGACCCCAAATCTTGGAGAAGCTCTTTCTCTGTTGCTCACCACATGCTATCTTCTTTGGAACTCAAATGCATTTCTTATATACACCATAATGTTAGATTTTGTTTCTTGACACGTTCCACCAGTGTGTTTGTTGTCCTTTTGAATCTGTGATTAGGTGGCTTAAGTGAAAGATGGCCTTTTCCTCATAGTTCTGGGAAACAAAAATCATCAATCAGTATGGGGCAGGTGGTAGGGCTGGTTTCTGTTGAGGGCGCTATTCTTGTTTGCGGCAGGAGCTTTCTCACTGTATGTGGCTATAGCTTTTCTATTGTCCATGAAGAGACAAGAAGAGAGAAGAAATGAGACGGAGAGAGAGAAAGGAGCAGAGAGTGAGACAAAGGGCGAAGGAAAGGGAAAGTGAGGTTTGGTGTCTCTTCTGTCAATGTGAATTTGGGCCCTAATTTTACAACCTCATTGGATCTTAATTACTTTAGTGCCTTATGAGTCCCATCTCCAAATACAGAGTCAGGCAGTTAAGTCTTCATCATATGAAATTTGGAAATGTACTTTAGCTTACAAAACCACTGGTTACATAAAAAAATATCACATGTGTCGAACCATTGTGGCATACACCTATATTCCCAACTCCTCGGGTGGCTGAGTCCAGAGGATGGCAAATTCATGCCCATTCTGGGCAACTTGGGAAGACCTAGTCTCAGTATAAAATGAAAAAGGCCAAGTCTTATACCTTAGTGGGTGAATATTTCCCTAGTACAAATGAGGCCATTGATGCTCCAGGTAATGGAAAAAAATAAAAAGCAGAACAAAATAAAAAAGCCCACAACCTATGTGAGAGCTGCTCAGGAAGATGAACATTTAACCATTGACACCAGACCATACCCTCTTCTAACTTTTTTCATTTTCTCCCAAATTAGAATTCAAGAATTTCATTGAGAATGTCCATAAGTGTATCACAGACTCCATGAGTACAGATGATCTGCAGAGTCTGCTGACTCATGATACCACCTGGAACGTGTTTGTGAAAGAAGCTGAACTGTCCAGGTATCTAACATGGTGCCAGTGAGCAATGCTGACTTGATGTCTACCAGAGTGGATTTCTCTAGGCATACCAGCCTTCTCCAAGTGGTTTCCTAGTTGATGGTGACCCTTCTCAAAACCCCTGAGGGAATTTCCTCCCTGTTATTCCTTGGCAGTGAATGGCTTTAAGTTGATGGGAGTTGATACCCAGAAAGCACAAGATCATTTCTGGCATCTGTGCTATGTGAGTTTTGCAAGTTATTTTACCTCTTTCTGACTTAGTTTGCTTCATCTGTTACGTTCTATTGTAAGAAAAATCAGATAATGCATAGACTGTGCTTAGCATATGGTGATACACAATAGATGATCTATTTTTTTTTTTTTTGGCTTTTTTCCTTTTTATCGGTACCAGGGATCGAACTCACGACTGCCTGCTTTCAAGGCAGGCGCTTATGCCGCCGAGCTAAATCCCCAGCCCCACACAATAGATGATCAAGCAAAGACAGGTTGGAAAGAAGCTAGAGCCAAGGCCCTCTATCTTTGAAAGGCCAGCCAAAAAGGGCTGGTTTTTGTTGGCTCAAAACAATTAAACATGTTCGGTGGATGTTCCTTGGGATTCCATGTCAGGCCATTTTTCTCCCCAGCTGAGGAACTACACAAACACAGCAGTATTTTTCTTTGGCCCAAAAGGCAAAGAGGTGAGAGTGGAGTTGGACAGAACTGTGTGGAAACATGACTGTTTCTGCCAGACCCCAGACTATAGGCTTGTGCCATAGATACTGAGAGTGTCAGCTCTGTGTCAGGGCCAGCAACTCAATCTGATAGCACTGTGGTGAAGGACTGGGATTGAGCTAAGGGATAAAGGTGGGGGACTAAGTACCTTACAGACAGTATCTTTCAAAAGACATAGGATGGGGCTGGGGATTTAGCTCAGCGGCATAAGCACCTGCCTTGCAAGCAGGCGGTCGTGAGTTCAATCCCTGGTACCGATAAAAGGTTTAAAAAAAAAAAAGAGGGAGAGAGAAAATGGCGGCTTGCTAGGGGATCGGGCGGAGAGTCTCTCCAGAGAAATCATATTAGAAGCTAGAATATGACAACATGGAGAGGGCCAGACAAATGGATAACGATTCTTATTAACCAAGATAGTGCAGCTGGAGGATTTAAAGTTGTGCTGAGACTGTGAAGGCTGATAATGGGAGGCTGCAAATCCTGCGCCTTTAAATCAACAAACTGACCCGTGGACCCAACAGAAAAGCTGTGTTGGCTTTTGGTGAGTGCTGGAAACTGAAACCTGGGACCCCAAGAAGCAGCCAGGACTGCCCCGCTGCACCAGAGGAGATTGAGAAAGGCTCTGGAACTCCAAAGCTGAATGCTGTGCAGATTTCTGACCGTTCTGTGCTGTGCCGGAAGCGCGGGAAAGGTGGGCAGTGTGGTGTGCGGTGGACCCGGGAGGAGGACCTGGGCTGGACCCTGGTGAGTACTGGGGATCCCACGGCTGCTGGGGTTGGCCAGAGAACATCTTGGAACTGGGCAGTGCCTGCCACCACAGGGACATCAATAACACATAGTCTGGCGGGAGACACCTTAGAGTTGGGCAGAACCTACAGCTCAGTGACAACACCGAGTCCCCCTGTAGGGAGGGCTGGTGGAAGACATCTTGAAATTGGGCAGATCCTCAGTACGTGCTGGCTTCAGCGTCATACAGAGAACCAGTGGGAGACATCTTGGATTTGGGCAGATCTGCTGTTCTGGTGCTCCTGTCACAGAGAGGTCTGGAAGAGAACAGCTGGGATTTGGGCAGAACCCTGTGCCATAGTGACATTAGTCAGCTGCTTCTGGTACAAAGAGAACTGGAAGGAGCTACTGGGGCTAAACCAAGCCTCTGCTTGGGGCCCAATAAGCGGATACAAAATAGTCACAACTCAGTGACACCCAGAAAGTACAGCCTAATTTACAGATTGACTGGCACAGAGGCTGGAGACTAGCCTGTACCGCCCCTGCATCCCAGCCTACCCCAGATAACAGCAAATTGGGAGGACAGCAAAAACTCAAGTCAGCACGCTTCTGAAAGGCCCTAAGCAATTCAGAGAGGGCCAGAGAACCCCAGGACAGTCTGAAAGAAACCAGAAACATGACAAGAGATAAAAATAAAAAAAAAAAATCTCCAGCTGCCCAACATGAGAAAATAAGCCCAGGAGAAGTAAACACTGAAGAGAACAAGCACAGTAACCATCCATTGCTCCACACAGCATCAGCCGAAATTAAAAAGTACCTTCATGATCTCATAGATGAATTTAAAGCTGTACTCCTGATCCAAGTGAGGCAAGATATAAAGAGATTAAAGAAATGACAAGCCCCGCCCAAGAGAACACAGATGAAAGAACTGAGGAAATCAGAAAAGAAAGAGAAACTTCTGAAGAAGAATTTAAACATAACTTAGAATACATGAAACAGATCCAAAGAGAATACCAGGAAACTAAAAAACTCCATTGAACACTGGCAAAATGCCTTGACAGAAACTAAAGACAGCCTTCTGAAACTTAAAGAGAGATTTATGGCATATGATCGTGAAAGAAAAAGCCTCTTAAAAATAACAAGGAACCAGAAAGAAGCAATTCAAAAACTAGAAGATGACAAAAAGATACATAACTTAAGAATAAAGAATGTGAGTGAGGAAGCAGGAGCAACCAAAAATGAAATACAAAGAATATTCACAGATATATTAAAGCAAAATTTCCCATGTATAGCAAAAAGAAATGATATCCAGATAAAAGAGGCATACAGAACACCAGCTACCTACAACCAAAACAGATCTATGCCTAGACATATAACAATCAAGATTCCAGAAATCCACCAAAAGAACAGAATATTAAAAGCAGCCAGAGAAAAGATGCAGATTACCTACAACAGGAAAACTATCAAAATAACAGCAGACTTATCAACACAAACTCTTAAGTCAAGAAGGGAGTGGGGAGAAATACTCCAAGTCCTGAAAGAAAATAATATGCAACCAAAGCTCATATACCCGTCAAAACTCTCTCTCAAAATTAATGGAGAAATAAGATACTTCCAAGACAAGGAGGAACTGTGGGAGTTCGTGGCCACCAATCCAACCCTACAGAGAGTGCTGAAGGACGTTACAGAGAAAGAGAGGAAGAGATACCAGGATCCCAGCAACAGTGGCAGAGAGGCCTCAGTGAACGGGGCAGACAGTGGAATGAGGGAATAAAGTGGACAAATTACAGCAGAAAAGTGGAGTAGCAGACATGAGGCAGAGACAGTAAGCTATAGTCTTTAGTATAGACAGCTCTGAAGCTCTATAAAAAAAGGCAGAGGTCATTGTTAATGGTGTATAAGGATTTAAAAGACACAGTATTGCCATATTTAGTTTGAATTTAATTTGTTCTTGTCTGTCCACTCATGTCAGATTTCAGGGCTTAGGACTGAAGAGAGGGAAAATTGAATGGAGTAATTTAAGGAATCTGAGGCCACAGGGTTGGGACCAGTGCGAGCCAAAGGAGGAGCTAAATGTTCAAAGCACTGAGAGGCCATGGGGACAGCAGAAAACATGTGGCTGGGAGATGGGATGCTTTGTCCACTTGCTGTGGTCCATCACTAATGAATATAGAGGGCTATGGATTTCTGAGTGCTGGCAGTTTTTAGTTGTGATTTTGAAAACTTTTACACTAGTAACTCTTAACCATCTTGAAGGCAGTGTGGCTTACTGACAATTTCTGAAGAGGGAATAGTTTGCTCTCTACCTGTGCCATTCTAGAGAGTATAAGAGACTCAAAATTCCTCATCAAAGAGTAAAATATTCCCTCTCTTATCAAGTCCAAATGCAGGTCCTTTTAGGCTTAGTAACTCATATAAATGGGTCTCAGTGTCTTATGAATCTTTGTACATAGAATTTGTTGCACACATGTGAAGCTGTGACCGACCAAGCTATTTATCAGGTGGGTGATGTCTGATAGTCATCCTGAATTTCAAGGTGCCGGGTTCAGGAGTGGAGTGGATGTATCAAGATGCAATGAGGTAGTTGCAGAGTCAGGGTGCAGCCAATAGCCAGGTCCTTCTACTATGAAAGTAATGGGCCCCAGTGACATTTAGTTGGGAAGGGTAGAGGGCATCAGGATGGGTCAAAAACTGATGGCAGAACAAACAAGATGCAGATTCTTCTGGTTCAGGGGTGTCATGTCCAGTACAGTTCTCAAAGTTTCCAGGTGGAAGGATGGTAAGATAATGAAGAAATAAAGATAAAAGACAGAAAGCTGAAGGCAGGTGGAGCCATCTTGCTGGATGGGAGGAAAGGAACTGCTCAACCACCATGGTGCATTTACTTACACAGTCAGGAGGTTGACATCCATTTCAACCTCTCTGTCTAGAAATTTACTTGCCTGGCTCACCTGGGCACCTTGCAATTTCAGAGCTGGTGCAGCTTTCTGTGTTCCTAGGGCTGGGCTTGCTTTAAACCTGAACCTGTGATTAATCTCCAGCTTCAGCTGCTCCCCACATTGGGACTTCAGTTTTTTAATTTTAATTTGAAGCTTTTCACTAATCTGACTTGATAAGGTTTTTGCTAAGCCCAAAGACACAGAGCAGATATAGAAGGCCAAGTTCACACCTGTTTGAGAAGGTGTGGACTAAACTTTGATCAAGGAAAATGTCATTTCACACCCAAGCCTTGATACATCTCGTATATGTCTAGAGTTTTGGAGAGCTGAATCACACACTGTCTTCAGGGTCTACCTGAAGACCCCTTCCCATCCCAGAGGTTAGTTGCCTTAATATCCAGTTCCTCTGAAGGACAGAAATGATCCCATAGGCAGCACAGCATCCTCACGTGAAAGCTGCGTATCTTTTATCAATGATGTGTAGATTCTATAGTTTTTTTTATTTTGAAGTGTTTTTTAATACGCTATGAGTAAATGATGAGACATGAGTACAGGACCCACAACTAAAGGGTCAAATTCATTTATGCTTCCTTATATAATGTGCAAGTAATTTGATATTACATTTTTAGCATGCCTGCATCTTGACTGTGACCTCTCCAATGATATCACATGTGAAATTTTTCTACCTATGACATTAAAGAAAGCTTTGGGAGTGGGGAGCAATTTTAGATACTGTATTTTTAGATGAGGTGTGTTCAAACTGTGTGACACTGTAGCCAAAGTCTCCAGTAAAACACAGATATTCAAGCAGGCAAAAGATTCTGAGTGTTTACAAACCTCTTGCCAGTAATGAGGGGAGAGAGAGGCATCCTCTTGAGCTAGACTGATTTTTCACTGCGTACTAAGTCTCTCAGAGCATTCCATTGCTGTACTTTTCTCTTCTCTTTGCTCATCTGCCGAGCTCCTCTTCTACCTACAAATTGGTAGTTGTCACAATAACATCTCATCAAGCACCTGCCTCTAAAGAGAATCTTAAGATGAACACATTCCATCTATGAGGTAGTAATTGTGGTCAATTGTGAAGGAAATATTCTGTGCATCTGTAAAATGTCTTTCCATTTGATTTACAGTAAAGCTCCCATAAGTTTTGCATGATATTTCCTATCCAGCCCATGTTACCCATAAATAAAATGCTCTTAACACCAGACCTTACTGTTGCAGGGATGAAGCAAAGGAGTTGAATGATTATTTGAAGAAACATACAGCAAACAACAAAATAGTGGACCAAAAAAGACTCCCAGAAGATATCGTGGGTAGGGAGAAGTTTTTGGAAATATTTCCTAAGGTGAAAGCAGAAATTGAGTCATGTATACAAAAACTTCAAGAGCTTGCGAAAGAGATTGATGAGACACACAAGGGTTGCACCATCTCCAACGTGGCCACCAGCTCTGTTGGGGCCTTCTCTGGAGTCATGAGCATCGCTGGCCTGGTTCTAGCTCCCTTCACAGCAGGGGGCAGTTTGCTGCTCTCAGCAGCTGGAGCAGGTATAGGAGCACTGTCTGCTGCATCTGGCATTACCACTACCATCGTAGAAGAAATAAACACATACTCAGTGGAATCTAAAGCCAAAAGTATCCTGTCAATCAGTGAGGACAGAGTGAGGGAATTGCTAAGGGTTGTGCTTAAAGCTAAACCTGAAATTTTTAAAAATTATTTTAAATTAATCAGTAACATTAAAAGGATGGGGAGGAACATCCGTGCTCTCAGGAGAGCCCTAACCGATCCGTGGTTAGCACAAGATGCCATTCATGTCATAACCACCGGGGTACTCTCAGCTGAAAGGGCTGAGCGCTTGGGGAAAGCATTAAAAGGCACCGTCTTGTCACTGAGCAAAGGAGCCCGGATCGTGGGTACAGTGATAAATGGTTTTTTTCTTGGGCTGGATGTGTACGACATTGTGAAAGACTCAAAGCATTTGCAAGAAGGGGCAAAGGCACCCCTAGGTGACGTGCTGAGGCAGAAGGTTCAGGAACTGGAGGAGGAGTTGGAGAGCCTCTACCAGATCGATAGGATTTTAAGTCTGACCCACTGACCCCTCCCCACAAAAATGCATAGTTAAGGGTACGTGTTCTGGACAGAGTCATGGACAGATGCAGACATTATAATAGGGGGAAAGGTATGAAATCAAGACCATGCAACTAGATATTAAGGGACTTAGCATTTTTTATGGGTGACCACAGTGAGGAAGGGGTTAATGCAGATTAGTTTGGTTAAAGGGAAGGCAAGATGCAAGGGTAGTTCAACAAACGAAAATAAACATACATGGTGTAGCACATAAATAAGAGAAAGGATTAAAACTGTATCATCTCATTTGATGCAGAAAAGGCCTTCACAAAATTCAACCTCATTTCCTGATAAAAGCCTGAAGGATCTAACAAGAGCAGGATTATACCTCTAGAGTTTATTTACCACAAATCCACAAAGCCCATCATTCTGAATAGAGAAAAACTGAAAGAACTTATTCTAAAATTGGGAACCAGGTGAAGTTGCCCACTTACTCTACTGCTATGCAGTGTAGCTCTTGGAATTTTAGACAGAGAAAGAAAGAAAAGAGAAAGAAAAACAATGTACATACGAGAAGAATAAGAAGAAAACACAATGCCTAAGTCAAATTATTCATATTTGTAGACAACATGAATTTTTGTTCAGAAATTCTGAACCCCACCAAAAGACATTTATAATTAATAAACAACTTAAACAAAGTAGCAGGAAAACAATCAACCTGAAAAAAATCAAACACATATGTAAACGCCCATAATGAGCTACCTGATGAACAAGTCACGGAAACAATTGCATTCACAATGCTATCAAAAAAAGATAAAAATAGACATGAAGTCTAGTGCCTAGGAATCAGTCTAATCCAGATGAAAGACCTCTACAATGAAAGTTAGAAAACACTGAAGAAAAAAATGGAAGATGACATTAGAAATTGAATGCCTTCCCCCATGTTCCTTGGAATCAAATCCATTCCTCAGTCTTTTACCAGCCCTGGAAACCGAATTGTGCTGCTGTGGTCACAGCACAGAAGACAGAATGGTGGGAAGACTGGAAGCCAGGAGCTTCCAGCAGGCCTGGGAGCTGTGGCATGACAAGGTTAGTGGACCCCTGTGAGCAAACTCTCCTTTGTTTAATAATGTGCAGGCCAGGGTTCAGAGATGTAGTGGGGGCCACTTCCCTTGGACATGAGGAGATTACTTCTAGAGACAAGGCCAGGTGCTTGGGCAATGACCTCAGGAGCCTGGATCGCAGGTGAAGTCATCACAGGTGTCTTCTTTTGATGGATGTGTGCTACCTTGGGCTAAACTTAGCTTCTCATATGAGAACACAAAATGTAAATAAAGAGCAAAATAAAAGTTAAAGCATAAGAAATAGGCAGATAGATTTTTAAAGTGGGAAGGGATCCAAATGGGAGAGGATGGAAGAGAGGAAGGGGATTTTAAAGAAAAAGAATTAAGATGTGTTATGGTTCCTTCCTGGTAGCAGTAGCGGTGTGACCAAGCGAGCAGGTGATGCACCAGGGAGAGAACAAGTCAGTGTTTCCCATGAGCCTACAGGGAATCAAAGGGGTCTCCTCAGCCCCACTGGCAACTGGATGGTGTCGAGGCCAGCTGGACTTGATAGCAACTGAATGCTTGTATTGTTGGGTTGATTATTCTGACCTGGGGACAAAGGTCTGAGCATCTCTTGGGAGAATGACAGTATGCAATACAGCAAATATGGGGATTTTCTTCTATCTTCTCTTTGAAGGCAAATGTTTTCACTATTTAGCTATTCTGTTTTGATAGGTTTTATCATGTTGTATTTTTGATTTACATTTGCTATACCTGGTCAGATGGACAACTATTGTGAAGATAACAAGATATACTACCACTGTTATCCTGGTATCCTGCCTGAAGTTCTGTACCAATTTCACTGCCTTGTCTCCACTGGCTTTGTTCTGTCTCATTCTGTTGTATTTTACTGTCTTAAAAAAAAGATATGCTGTGTACATGTAACTAACTCCCCACAAAGAATGTAATCCTTAGTTACTGCAAACATACACTGAACTAATAAAAAGATAAACTGAAAAGCAGAAGAGAAGTTATTATTGGTTAGACCTAAAATGCCCCTCAAAATCTCATGTGTCTGGAGGTTGGGATTTTGGAAGGTGGTTGGTCATGGTGGCACTATATTCATCAGTTTATTAATTGAATTTATGATTGAGAATCCTGTTAGGCTGTGTTGCCCAATTGGAGAAGGGAGGGTAACTGTGGCTGTGACCTGAAAGGGATTATTCTTGTACTCCCACTTTTCTCTCTACTTCTGGCTGCCACGGGTGGAGCAGCTTTCCTTCATCATGAGCTTGCACCACGTGGAGACGGCCAGCTAAACCTGGACTAAACCTGCTAAAACCATGAGCCAAAGCAAATCTTTCCGACTTTAAGTCGGCTGTGTTAGGTATTTTTCCAAATATCTGAAAATTATTAATACACAGGAGGAGATAAAGTCTATCTAAGTGAATGTTAAGGAGTTTGAATTTTTTATGGTTTAACAGTACAAAGAAGATGTTAATGCAGATAGTGAGTGGGTCAAAGTAAGTCACGAGGCTGGGGTCTGAAGAAGGCAGTAAGTACAGTGTGTGGGGATAGGAAAAAGTGTTAGTTTTGGACTGAGTGTACTTTGGTGGCATAAATAGAGACAATGTAGGAGCAAACATTGGGAAGATCAGGACCACTTAGAGGTGGAAGAGGTAAGAAGCCGGGTTACACTAGCTGAAACACAGAAGAAACAGGAGTGTTAAGGGGACCTAGAGATGGAGCAAGAGTGGGGGAGGGTGGAGGCAGGGGAAGTAAAAGGATGAAGATGTTTATGCTCATGGACTAACCCGCACGGTCAGTATAGTCATTACATACTGCAAAACACGCACTAGTAAAATATAAGAATAAGAAACACGGGTTGCTCTGTCTGCGCCCTCTACAGCCTCACACCCAGCAGCATCGCTTTGTTTCCTGGTTCCCCAGCGCTGCTTCCCAGGGTCACCTCACTGTGCCTTGGCCTCCAGTACAACCTGCTCCCTCCCTCCTCTTCTCCCCCACTCCTCCTCCTCCTGCCCTTCCCTTTGTACTTCCCCTTCATTTCCAGTGCTCTTAGTTTCCCCCTTCCTCTTCTTCTCCTCCCTGTTTTCATCTCCATCTCTCTCTCCTCCTCCTCTTCGTCTTCCTCTTCCTCCTCCTACTTTTTTGAGACAAGTTCTCACTCTGTAATCAGGTTCACCTTGAACTAAAAATCCTCCTGCTTCAGCATCTCAAATGCTGAAATTGCCAGCATGCAACATGATGCCTGGCTGAGGCTGTGACTTCTTGACAGTGCTGATGATGGTGCCCATGACAGCAGAGTTCATGCAGCACTTGGCATGTGTCCAGCCTTCTGGACATCAAAATTCAAGTGAAATTCCAAGTGCTACATTGGAGCAGTCATTAATCTGGGAGCAGAATGAAACCAGATTCCAGGAATACGTCCGGGAACCTGGAGTTCCATAGAGATCAACTAGGTGGGTGGCAAGAGATCAACCTGTCTGAACCTCAGGTTTTCGGTCTGTTGGGGAGGAGCTGCTGTACACGATAATATCTCACATCTTTTTGGCTCTTTCTTTCTGATGTTCAGTCTAACAAATATTAACTGATTATTCCCAGAAAAGTAGGTATAAATTAATCAACTGCCAAAGAAAGAGGATATCATCAGACCAGAAAAAGAGGCAGTAAGATTCAGGATTAGACAGTCTCATCTTTATTGAGTCTCTCTGTACAGAATCTCGGTCAAAAGCAGAAGCAAGAATGGTGGACTTTCATAAACTATAGCAGAGTGAGCCCATCCAAGCTGGAATGCACCTGGTTTCTCTTAAGCTAATGTCAAAGAAATTAGTCACAGTTCTGAGACCAATATCATCTGGATCGGGTTGCAAAATCCTGGATGTGAGTTAATGGTTGTGTTTATCTATGACATGGTAAGAAGCAATGCAGAAAAAAGACAGGAAAGTCTTCTCAGGGACTATTATAACAGGAATCAAGATGGCTGAAGTAAGAAGATGCTTCCAACTTCTGGGAAGAAGGCAGAGTGGTGAACAGCAGAGAAACAGCCCTTCTGAGATTTGCCCCTGAGACGTGTAATGCACCTCAGATGTGTCCCTGAGACCCAGTGAGAATCTAAGGTGAAAACTGAAGCCATGGAGAGAACAAAGAGAGACTTCACAAGGACTAGCGAGGTGGCCAGCAGCATTTTCTCCATAAGGCCTGACTTACTGCAGAAGCACGGTGACTACTGGCAACCCCAGAGGCCTCCACAGAGGAAGGCACCAGTGCAGTGGAGCAGTGGACACTGTGGACTGCAATGCCTGGTGATTTGTTTGGGTTCAAATGTGCCCTAGGAGAGTGGGACAGGCCAGTAAACATCTTGGAGACTGTACTTCCAAATGCAGAGCAAGTGCTGGCTCCCCACTGTAGCTCCTGGCAGCAGGGGAGGTGGAAACAAGTTCAAGTCAGCAGGAGGTCAAGGAGCTGATTTGAAACCTTCAGGGAGCCCAGTTCAAGCTGGCAGGAGGCACACACTCTGGCTGCTTCCAACTTATTTTCTTCCAGGACTTTTTACTGCTTCTTCTTGCAGTTGACTCTATTCAGGTCCTACGTGAATGTCAATAAATTTTCCTTCCTACTTCCTATACTGTTTATTCACTGCTTCTCCTTTAGGGCAGGCCCCAGGTCCCTGCCTTCGCTTTAATGCACCTCATCAACATTAACACATGCCTCCCTGTACTCAGCCACAGAAATGCAAGATTCCTTAACACCCAATTGGGTAGACTTTATCTCACCTTCTTCTGCTCTACAGCACTTCCTGCCCTTGTTCAGATGCTTGAAATGCACATGTGCCCTGAGGTCTGCACTTTTGGAGGAAGGTGTCACTTAGTCAGGTCCCACTGCGAGCTCTCCTGGATCAAGATGAGGTCCTCCAATTTCCTCTTCAGAACTTGAGCCTGCTTCCACAGCTGTGTGGGTCTTTGCGCCCTTGTGCAAATGTACTGAGTCTTGTGCAAGGCTGCACACATCCATCAGAAGGAAGACACCTGCAGTTGCTACATCCATAATCCTGGCTCCTTTGGACATTGCCAGAACCAAACCTAGCAAGGTTCTGGGTACCTACTCATCGCTTTGGAGTGAGATTTTCCCCACTTTTCAGGCAGTTGGCACTGGTTAGTAATTGATGGTTGAATTAGTCCACCATAATGGCACAGACATCTTTCTTAATGCTTTGGAATCCTTGCACACACTTCATGATTGCAGAAACAGCTTAAGGTGTAGCCTTACCCACAGCCTGTAGAAGCCATTCTGATTGATACCAAGTACCTGGCTTCCGCTTGCACTGACAACTTGTCTGAGTGGTCCACGATGCTGGCTGAAACACCAGTCACAATGCTGTGGGAAAATTTCCAAGCCAAGCCAAACCAAAAACATACTAAACTGAATGGAATACTGCACCAAGAAGATAAAAAGAGAGCATTTAATCTCTATGCCCACAGACTGTTGTGGGATGATTCCACAAAGGCAAAGCCCCTGAATTAGCAAGGAGATTAGTCTATATAGAACTTAGAAGTGGGCGGTACAAAGCAAGTGACAAAAAGTTATATGAGTGGTTACATATATTGAGTCATATATTGACAGACAGGCTAGTCTTGAAACAATAGAAACATACAGGGAACGGGGAGGAAGCTTTTGCAGGGTGAGCATAGTTAAGGGCATTACCATAACATAGAAATGTTCCTGAGAGAGGGCCCTTACTGAATGACCACAGTTA